TGAGAACACAGTCTCATGGATATGGACACAAAATCTTGGAAAAGTTGGTGTGATGCACACAAGTTTTCTTGTTCATCTCAATCTTTATTCAACAGTTGACACACTTGCCATGCCTTTGCAACTTTGCAGTTTTCAACATGCCATTGCCATGTGTGTGCATTTTGTGCACATTTGCAGGTGAGCTTGGCTATCTGAAGACATGCACTTTCACAAGTGATATGGATCGAGTGGTGCTCGAAATGCCAAACGAGAGTGGGAAAGGAACAACAGACGCTGAAGTATCGTCACTTCGAGCACTGATGCATGAAATGGAACAAAAAGAAGTGATAGACTGCACACTGAACGGACATGAGCTCAGTCGTCCTCCTGCCTGTGGTGACGGTGCATCAGCAGCAAACAGCCTTGTCCTCAGTTCCGTGCCGTGCTGACAACCTCTCCTTTTGTATGTCCCACTTCTGTGAACGCATTACTTGAACTTGTTGCCAGGTTCAGACTTCTTTGAGATCAAGCCGAAACCAACACCGATGTACTTCCAAATACACATCGGTTGCGAATATGTTTTCGGACAAGGTGCCCAAGCATAGTTCCATGAAATGAAAGGAAATACACATGGCAACATCAAGTTGCAACATGTCCGAAACTTGTAGCTACGCTAGGCTCTGGAGGCTTCACGCATGCTTTATGGGGTGTGGCGTCTCGCCTAACCTGAAGGAAGCTAACGTGCCTGTGATGCAAAAGTCTATCAGTCATGTGATGGCCTTTTCCACACGACCAACAAATATTAGCCTGCAAATTGAGGAGCTCACCCCAAGATGCTTGGTAGCAGCAAAGGGCCAAATCATTCCTGATCAGTTCGTTCGACATGTCAATATCACACTTAGTTCTGAGTGCTTGGTGTCTCGTAACGACCCTAAGGAAAACCGCTCTATTTTTTGAGGGGATCGCAGGATTTGACCATGGAACCTGAGCAAGCTATCCGCTTGGTATGAACAGTCAGTTTTGGATAACGCTGGGGTCCATCAGGTGCTGAGTATACTGTGAATACTATGTATTAAACCTTAAAGTGATCAGAACAGTCACGAACTGGTTGCTTTACAGAATCTTTTGCAAAGTAACAAAGTAACAAATGTGTTTTCAACGTGTTTCAGCCCGATGCACCCAAAAGAGCTGTAGGGAGGGATCGCAAGCCCCTTTTCGTGAGTCTCGTGAGCTGAAGGCAGCTTAGGGCCAGACTCCAGCAAAAGGCTGCAGTGTTGAGACCGCATCGTACGAGGCTGCAGTGAGCGAAAAGTTCTGATGATATTTCAAGTGCAGATATGTCATGAACAAACACTATGCTCTGAGTGCTTGCGATTGATGTTGTAAGTGCAAGTGTGAGTGGCTGGGTGGAATCCACTGATCAAACGCACAGCTTCGGAAGCACGAGCTTTGTTGTGGCCTTGCTCTCTCACCGACTCTTCCTCAAGGCTGAATATCATCAACGTGTGATCCAAAGGACTATGAGTTACGAACTTTACAAACTGTCTCGTAAGAAACATGAAAACTGTCTCGTATGTTCGTAAGGACTATGATTTACGAACTGATCATGTTTCACGAACTTCAAGAACATGTTTCACGAAACTTGACGAACCTGCCGGGTGCCGGGGGTGCCGGGTGCTGGGTGCCGGGTGCTGGGTGCCGGGTGCCGGGCGCTGGCTTGTGTCTGCATTTAGTGATAGTTTGATTAGAATTGTCTAGTGGAAAGGTTTTGGACAGATTGGTTGTTGAAAAGGGTGGATGGAATGGAGTGATTGAAACGAGTGATGAATGTCAGTTTCTGTCTCTTTGTTGACTTCGTTATCACCCAAAGGAGCTAAAGGTTTTATTTCATCTGGCTGAAAATCATCCACTGCAGGATCTGAGCAACGCGAAGTTTGTGCTTCACGGGAAGGAGCAGCGCTGCTTGTTTAACTTGTGTTGGGCACTGTGGGTTGGCCTGTGGTGCATTGTGGTTCTGAAAGTGTTACAGTAAATGATTTTTGCAGCCCTGTTGAGTTTAGTGTCCTTTAACGTTCTATGTCTTTGGCCCTATTTGGAGGCCAGACATAGTGCAGGAACACCCAAACATAGCAGTTCTTTAAATCTTTATACACGTCATACCTCATACCAGTTGAGCAATCCATCTCACAATAATAGAGACAAACCAAAGAGGAGAGAAGCAAACACATGTCCTTCAGCCAACAAACCATTTAGCTTCAAACCATTGGCTTGCGGGTAAAATACAGTCCCGATCAGCTGGTCCCCGAGATGCGGCGAGACGAGAAGTCAGGGCAGTCTTTCTATTTCACGAGTGACACGAGTAAGTGGAAAAGGGGAATGGCATCGACATTTGGTTGCAGTGTTTGCAACTTTGTTGCTTGCAGTGTTTGCAATCCAGTCTAAGGACGGGACGAGAAGCAACAAGCCAAAGAGTAACAAAAGCAACAGCAGCAGCAGCAAAGTCTTGAAGAAACAGCTCCTGTAGGGGATGGAGCTGAGAAGTTTGTGGCTTTGGTTCCTGCTGGGCCTAGTGGTGGGCAGGGGTTGAACATTGTTCAAGGGGGCAAAGCTTGCCATCTATGCTACAAAATGGAAGAGGAGTATGTTCATGAACTTTATGCCATGCGTGGCTAAGCTTGGTTTGGGTAACATTTTGGATCTTGAGGTGTTTGCTCAACATGCTTAGTGTGGGACACCTATGTTTCCTATTGCTCAACACATCTCTGAGGTCAGAAAGTGACGGATTTGGAGTGCAAGTTGAAACGCAAAGGCATCGAGATTGCTTCTCCAAAAGAGAAACCTCTGAAGCACCTTGCTGTTGGTGTCCCTACGAGGCTCTTCTGACTGAAAGTCAGTTTGTGGTGATGGCAAGTTTTGCAGGGTGTTGAAAAAGTTTTTTGTCTATCCCTGTGGCACTGTAATACTCAATGCTCTTTTGTGCTGTTCCGTTGTCTGGTTATCTGCCAGGTGCTCATGTGGCAAGACTTTGCAATGGTGTGGATGGAGAAAAGAGCGTCAAGAACGGCCTGTCACAGCTATTGTCTACCACCACCAGCATACACCATAGGACCCAAATGTAATGTTATAGGACCCAAATGCAAGGAAATTGACTTCTTTGTAATTTTATATGGACCCCCATCCAAAAGACATCAAGCACCGCGCATGATGGAAATACAATCGCCTCCCAAAAGCGAGCTGCAGTCGCAGTCGTGTGTGCATAATTCACCCACGTCATCTCAAGTCCACACGCGTGTCAATCATTTCCGGGTGGAGTTGCTGATTCCATGCCGACCTTCATCATCCTTCATCCCTTTTTCATGCGGACCCCCAGTGGCCCAGCAGCTCGACAATTGGCCAAATCTTTGTACAAAAGCCACGGAAGAGCGTCACAGGATGCCAAATTGTTCGTCCATTTGGGCCCAATCTCGTCTTCACCCCACTGTAGATGGTGGGCGTTCAAAGCCTCTATAGCCACAGAAAGACTCCAAAGCAACAGGGAAGGACAGGACCCACGGAACCAATGTGAATCGCATCTTCTGGGGTGGTGGCCATCGCTAGTAGGTTGGAGGCCATCCCCAACACTCTCTCGCGCTCGTTCTAGGCCGAGAGAAATCTCGCACATCCCATGACACCCGTCACTCATGTGTGACGCGAACGGCCTCAGCTCTTGCCTGGGCTATTTGGGACGAAACATCCGTTTGAAAGGGTCATGGGGAGGCGGCATTCTCCGGCAGGGTGTCAAAATCTATACTCTTCCTAGCTTCTGAAGCCACAAGTCGTGGTTTTGATGTGCGGGGTTCTTGGAAACAACTTTGGAGGGAGACATGCACAGAATACATTTCGACCGTCTCCAAAAAAGCATGGCCTGTGGCACAACCCCTACCAAGACACGTGATCCTGTGGGCAGTGGGCTGGTCTGGGATCATCAAAGGTGGTGACAGCGGCACGCTGGGAACATCGAAGCAAAAGAAATCGCTGCCCAAAAAGATGGACGCAGGATGTGGTCAATAGGCACTTCGATTAGGGTGTCCTGGAATCGGATGGAATGCCGAGGACTAGCCGCTGCCACAAGTGTCCGAAAACTGTTTTGCCGTAGAAGTGCCAGCAATTCAAAAAAGCAAATGCAAATGCCTGCTCCTCTCTAAAGAAGGGCCAATGGCTTCCTGGCCTCCTATCATAATGTATAATATATCATTTACTTGTCTGCAATTTCCTGCACTCGTGCTGAACTAAAGTCGTTTCAACAGGGCCGGTGTCATTTTCCATGGGCGTTCGAAAGGAAACCCATGCGTGCTTCTTCCGTTGAACATCCATTGAACAGCTAGCTTAATTAACGTGTCCACTGTCACATGTTCATCCCACATATCCTCCCTCGAACACTCGCGGAAGTGGACCATAGGCCTGTAAAAAACAAGAGGGTGCTGTTCAGCTTCCACCATTGAACAATGCGGGCATCTTGACATTGGAATCTAAACGCTTTTGTGGCCCCCCCTGTGTTCTCACCGTCTGTGTGCCCCAAGTCCGGGCCTTTGAGCATCTCCTGAGGTCCGGCGAGGTCTCAAAGGATGAGGAAAAGACACACAACCAATGGATTTTGCTTCTTCCAGAGGGTCTTTGGGAGGTCTCCCTATTTGAATACCATCCATATTGGCGTTATATGTGTCAAGATGTGATCGTCCACATCCTCTCCCCATCCGTAGTTGTCAAGCAACTACGGAGCTGCGAGCAGCGGACGGGATCTCCCAGTGCTGGAGCCGTGATGGCCTTTAGGAACCTTATGATGGGTTTGGTGTTGATCATGAAAAATACTATGCTGCTGGTATCCTTGGAGATCTTTGAGTTGGGCTAGGTCTGTGACAAGGTGAAGGTCCGTCAAGGTCCCTCAAGGCCCATCATTTAGTCTCAACTAGTCTCAAAAAGTCTCATGATGATGGATCTTAACTCCAAAACCTGGTCCAAATGGTATTTCTGCGCCGCCTGATTCACTTGGAGTGGAAGTTCTCTTTCTCTTCCAGTTTCCTGTGAGTTGTCTGACCTCCACCTACCTACCCCCAGCAATCTTCGGCAATTCCACTCTCATCTTGGGCCACTCCGCGAACAAATCAAACAATTACACCAAACCACAAAGAGCTGAGATAAAACGTCCTCATCTCTCCTTCAAAAGCTACCAATTATCATGATTCGTCAGTTACCACTATCAAATACTATCAACCAATCTCAGAAAATGACCCCAAACTGCTCTGTCTACACACACGTGCCTGGCCCAGCACATCGACCCCCGAGCCGCCGAGGCGCGTAGACCCGAGCTGCGTACTGCAGCACCACCGCGTCGCCCGAGGGGCCGCGAAGCACTTGGCCTCGGATGGAACCGAAGGTCATATCATCTCATATCTAAAGGCTAAAACAATTCCCAAGCAAACCCTCTAAGGTGCATCGTTTTGCATTTATCAGGTGTCCTAGTTATAGTCATCTTTAAGCCACCAAGAAGCTAGCCCCCTCGCCTTCTTTTGGATTCTCCCTCGCCCTCACTGGCTTCAAAGGACTCGCTCTCACATGTTTGGGAGGAATGCCACAGGCTGCTTAGTGTCTTGAACACACCCTACAGATTCCGTGCAACTGATTTCTATGGTCTATACAATCATTGGACATCGAAGACCACCACACTATGGACTGCAGCTCAAACACAAACACACACATGAAAAAGCACATGGTCCGCTCTCTCTCTCTCTCTCTTTCCTGCGTGTGCAATCCCGTGACCGTCAGTGTGGAAAACAAAAAACAAAGCAGTGAGGACAGCTCAGTCAAATGGCGTGGAGTACACTCGAAGTTTGGGAGAGGTCAGAATGAGACTTGAAACCAAACGTCGCTGCCCTCAGAATCAAGAAGCAACTGTCAAGGATCTTCAATCCTGGATAGCTAGGTCCTCTGAATACTTCAGGAGGCCCAGAATATGTTCTTGCTGCTATCTAATTTGGATTATTTTGGACTGATTTATCAACTTAAACCATCTGACGCAAAGCTAGTTTTTGGACATGCGATGGCCCCCTTCATTATTGATTTCAACTGGTGCAGAGGACCAGGCCCGGTCCAACAGTCCAAACAAGATCGGATTGTTCTGAACAAGCTGAGGAGTGCGCGTTGGCGCATCGGTTCCTTGAAAGTTCTGGAAGACATGTGTTTGTTTTTTTTTCCATTTTTTCCTGGCTTTTCATTGAGTTCTGGCAGTGGCTCCAGCTCTCTGCAGTCATCACACCCAGCTACCTGCCCTGCTCTGATGAGTGGTGCCTGGAGCCAGGCGCTCAGACTAAAGCTAGGGCCTCAAAGGTGAGATCGTTCTTTCATGAACAGCACTGAAACCCAGATGAGGCACGAGCTCGGCCGCCAGGTGGCTCTATTTCTCCCGTGACACGAGCTCGTCCGCATGACGGATCTGTGTGTCCGGACACTTGTTGCACCTGGGCCTCCGAGGGAAATTCACATTACCTCGGCTCTCAACGGGTGGCACCGGTCAGCCCGGTTCGGGTCCGTCCGAACGGGACCTGCAGCAAACATGCATGGTATAGGTGGTCTCTCAAAGGCCTGGGTCTTCAGCAGAGAACTCGTCCCAACGAAACCATGTAAAATGGTAAAACTAAGATCATTAAAACGATTTAAAACCGGTAAGTGTGCAGTTAGCTGGTCAAACTTGATGGCTCGAGTTCAGGTTTCTCGGGGCTCATATGACGTATCAAACAGCTCTTCTTATCCTCCTTGCCTTGACTATTGAGATGTGAATTGTGCACCTGCAAAAATAGTTGGTATAGATGAGCATAAATGTGCAAACCGACCTTCACGATATCACTCACCGACCTTATCAATGGGCCAAACCCAGCATCACAGAGCCGCGCCCAAGAGGTGTGTATATCAATCATATCAAAATAGCCAGGCCCAAGGCGCCCAAGGTGCACATCTTTCAACATGGGAGGCTTTATGAAGTGACCCTCCTTGACCAACTTTTTGGGTGTGGATCCTTTCTGGGGTCTTCTGGGCAATGAAAGAGACGGCATTGACGGTATGGCCCCCCAAAAAAAGCAAAAACTACCCTTGCTACTGATACTGTTACCCCCCGCTTGCCATAGTCAAACCGCCTAATTTATTGATGTGTGTGTGCTCGTTGGTCTTCACCCTCTAAATACAATAAGATGATCACAGGACACCATGGGTCATGATGCAACATGAATCAAACAGCCATCCCATCACAGCCGCGCACTCGTCTCGCTCCCACCGCCCCACCGGTCCCACTGCAACCGCCAAGCCACCACAGCTCTCACACCGCCAGTTGCCATCCTGTCGCGAAGGTTCGGGCTCGGGCCGGGCTTGGGGACGCTTGCAGTTGCAGTTGAGTCAAGGACGGTTATATCAAGCGAGTTACGAGGGCACTTGGTGCATTGGTTTGAATAGATGACACCAACTCGAAGCAACGATCAACTCGAAGTCCAGGTCAGCTCCAGGGCTCTTGGTTTTTCACAGTGTAAGATCGCGGCGACAGATCCGTCGTGGGGAGAGTCCAGGCCACCTAGAGAGGGGGCAGCCACATGGGGTGGTGCCAAGTTGGCTTGCAGCGGCTTGGGTGTTCTTACTAGGGGCGCCACTGGGGTTACAACAAACATATTTAGAAAAAAACATGTTTTTTTGTATTGTAGAAAAGGTGTCCATACTGATGTGCAACCGCTGAATATTCAAAACCTGACGATTCAAATATTATGGATCCTGACATCGAATTATGTGATTTCTTGTCCCGCCCTGCCCCCCCTCCAAATAACATCACTGGGAGTCATCCTCCTTAAACTCATCAGGTTTTGAATAATCAGGTTTTGGGAGTCATCATCATCTTTATTTAAAAACCCAAGGCGGCAGCACAACTAGGACCCAGGGTAGGTCGATATGGTCAGTTTCAGGACCTGTCGTGAGGGTCCAATGCTGTCCATGGACGCCTGGGCATCCCTCTCCAACCCCCATAAAAGCTCATCCGGCACCAATGCGATGATGATTCAATTTAGGGCGGGGGGCCGGTGTTGCAGCAGGGCTTGGTGCATTGTAGGACTTTGAAGTCTTGAACCATCTGAAGCCCACGAGCAACACGTGAGCAACATGTTCAATGTCCCGATCCTGAAGGGTGTGGGTCAAACACTACAACCTTCAAACTCCAGCAAGCATGAGGTAAACATCCACAACTCTCCATCCAAACCTGGACTTCTCTGTTTCTTGTGGCCTGTTTGGTGTCCCAACCCCAACCCCGTCTTTTTCGAAGCTCTCCGCTGCTTGCACGCCGAGGAGCCTTCCGCGCCGCACCGGCGCCGCACGGGCACGGAAGGCCGAAGGCGCAGCCGCGCGAGCGGCAGCGGCCGCGCTAGTCGAGGAAGGCAGCGCCTGCGGCCTTGGCCGCCAAAGCATTGGGCGCCTTCTCAAAGGGCACCGAGGACCTGGGTTGGCGGTCGAGGTCCGGACAGATGGTCGAGGTGAAGATCTCGGAATCACCATGGGAAGCAAGTTTGTGCAGTTTAAGCATGTGTAAATATGTTTGAGATAGACTCCCACTCATCATTCAAATCATCCCAACAAACCCGACTTGAAGCTTCTAATTAGCCGCCTCAAACCCTTGCAGGGAAGCAGCTGGTACCTGGTATCTGCTGTGTAGTTCTTACCACCCCAGATCAGCACAACCTGAGAAGGACACGGAAAGGGCCTTAGGGTTTAGCTGTCCCGGGCCAATGTGCCACTTGCCACCCAACAACTATGATTGCCGGAGTAGACATGGCGAACCGCAAATATGATCAAATGTGATGCATATATATATATATATTTGTTTAATATATATTATAATACCTCCCTGGAGTGTGGACTCCACCCCTACGCCTACACGCCTAAACTGGATCTTAGATGCTCAACTACAGACTGCGCACCCACAAATCGGCTTCCGTCCCCCCTTCATCCGCCCAACTCATGCACCATGATCACCATGGCCCGCCCGAATGCGGGTCGACACCTCCGGTGCCTGCCGACACCACCGGACTGATGCGGTGCAGTGGCGGGTCGGCGTCACGATCCAAGTACCAGAAAGTGCACGCGAAACGATCTGGGGAGCAGGATGGAGCAGGAGCGGATCGGGGGCGCGGAGCATGCTCGGTCTTGTTTTGTTGCATCGCAAGCTGTTTGTAAGAAGAAATTGGATGTGATACAGTGTTGCAGTGAACAGAAAGGCCTGGGGCCGGGAATTCCATCAAACCCACATTATGGAATTCACAATCTACTGGTCCGCCATGTGTATGCCACTCACTGAAACCTGACACCACTCCCAGCACAACTCCCGGTTCTGGTTTTTCGCACCTCGTTTCGGTGGCAGCACCTCATGTGGAATCTCATCGGCCCAGAAGCACAGCAAGCGATTCGCGTGTGGCAGCAGCTCTGCGCGCACCTGCAAAGGTGGCTTCACCTGCGTGAGTGACTGAGCAGGGGCGCAGGTGACTGGACACTGCGGGCAGCAAAAGTCCGGTAGGCAGCAAGCAAGGAATGCTGCTTCTTTTTTCCACCACGAGCGAAAGGGAGGTTTTGGGCGAGATGGACATGAATGTACGACACATCAACCTGCAACGCCTGAAACTCTGGAAGTCCTTCCAGCTGAAAAACCATTTGGTTGGAGGCCATCGCTAGTAGGTTGGAGGCCATCGCTTCTAGAACAAAGAACAACAGGCAAGAACGATCTTATATAGCTAGGGTTCATAATAAAACACAATACCCAAAAATAAAAATGTAATATACATATATATATATATATTCTTTATCAGTCACTTTACTTTTGTAGAATAACTTAATGGTATATTTATAGCTTGCTATCAGCGAAAGCTTGCTACCCTCGGAGGCGCCTCGAAGAGCCGGATGCCGCCGCCATCGCTGGGTTGCCAGTCCGGATTCAAGTAGAGGATCGTCGTGAGGATTCGCCCGCAATGGCCTCCGGCGGGAGGCCAACGGCGACGGCCGGATGGCCACGTCACGGCCGGATCGCCTGGGTAAAGCAACTGGAGTTCGGATCATTTAATGAATGCTCTATAGCTTTTTATAGCGACCTAGTGCATCTTCTGACTACGGAGGCTCTTCTGGTACAGTACAGCGCGTAGTGACTGGGAATCGATCTTGGAAGAATGTTGAACTCCTTGGAGTCGTAGGGCCCGTCTGCTCCATGCTAGACTCCCAACTCACAAACGTAAGCGCTGGCCACCACCTAATTAGCACTGTCTATTCAAACTAACACATGCAGTTTCAATTCTGTCCTGCAATGATGGTACAGTTACCTCCTAATTTAGAGGGAACACTAGCAGCGGGAACACTAAAGGGAACTAGAATGGCCTGATACTGGTAGAGCCTGTCTCCAGTGAGCTCAGCGCGTCACTTCCTCTGAGTCTCTCCGCACCTTTGGCGCGCTCGTTGTCCAGGTGTCGGAGGTATCCCCGTGCAGAGCTGCTCGCACAAGGCCCAGCCCAGGACTGGAGCGCAGCGTATGCCGGCGCCACGTGGTGGTGAAGGCTTTGGTCGCGCTAAGGCGGGTCAAGATGCGTCCGAATTGATATATTGACTTGGGTTCTTGACATGGTATCACTATGCAGCAACTGACTCTCACTGACTATCAAATGTCCTGTGGAACATCGTGGAAGAGTTGCTTCATCAACTGACTCTCACTGCCGTATCAAGTCCAACGGTGCCTTCAAGTGGTCAAGTTGGCCGGCCAGAGAGGTCTCCCGCTTTCCATGGCCTTTGAAAAGTCACCACTTAAATCCACCTAGTTTCTTTTGTTGCTCGTAGCTTCTTGTTCCTGGTAGCGATGGCCTCCAACCTACTTGTGATGGCCTCCACCTTTAGTAGCGTCCTTGTTACTCTCATACCACGCCTTATTCCTCTCCATGTTTCGTTTGGCTCCACATGGACCCCCATCCTCCGCTCCCCCCTCTCCGCGGCCTCACCCTGAGCGTCCACCAGCTCCGCGGCCTCGCGGGCTCCGGGGTAGCAGGTGAACATCGCATGGCTCCGGGTGCGGATGCAGCCCATGCGCTCTGGGAACCTGAGCGCAGCGGCGAAGCTCCCTCCCGCGGACCCCGCGGCGCCCGGAGCGCCTTCAAGGCGAAGATGTCGCGACTCGTGTTGCGCCGGATGCGAAGCGGATGGCCATCCGCGCAGGATTCTGCAGGTTTCGAAACCGAAGATGACTCTAAGGCTTAGGTGATAGCAGGCTCACGGCGGGCGTCAGGCACAGCAAATCACTCCCATCTCTGCAATCATCATCAACCACACGAACTTGTATTATGCATTGCTGTCGTCCATAGAGAGGATCGCCACATACCACCCACATCCACCAAGCATTCCAAGGTCCTACCGTGTTTCACCCACATTCTTCGAAGGAACATGGAACATGCATGACCAGGTTCCAGCAAACCTGGTTCCGGCCCATGACCGACCGGCGAGTCGGATTTCCGAGGCCACCGGTCGTTGGTTCCGGTAGTTTTGGTTTCGGTCGAAGCGTGAAGCGCCGTCAAGCAGCTCTGGCGCTAAGATCTCGGCCACCAGGGTATCAATCTGCTCGAGGACCTCGGATCGGGCCGAATAGGGGAATGCAGGGGGGGTCTTTGACTGGAGGGTTCCAAGGGCAGTAGTGAAGTGATCCTCAGTGCTGAACCATCCATCCATTCTCAAGACTCCAGGTCCTTCCAGTCAGTTGTGATCCTCTTGCGAGTTTGCTTTTGGATGTTCGGTCTTCCAAACCCACCTGAACAATACAAAACGGCTGGACGACTGGGAGGATTCTCCAGAACTTCAGGGTAGGGAATTGACAACCCGGAAATATATAATTAACCTTCACATGTCCTCCAACACCCCAAAGATCCAAGCTTCACGATGTTATACCCCTCACATCGTTGCTTTCAGGTTTACCTTGTAAACACTTGGTCAACCCCTCCAAGTCTCCGAGACTTGCAGACTTTGCACGAGACTTTGGAGGCAAGTGCTGGCCCCTACAGGCCAGCGCCGTCCAAAAAAAGGAAACACGCGTCGCCTTCTGTAAACCCGCCCGCAGGCCTCTTTCAGTTCGGGGATGGAGGCCGAGGACTGGCCTTCCTGGGCTGAGAAGCAATGCGGCTGTTTGACAAATTCGGCGGCTGTTTGTCAGTAGGGGTTGTGAAGAACATCAGTTATTATATACATGTTATTATTACAGTTGATTCAGGCCTGCTCCTCAAAAAATCACCTGCAGGCTGTCACCTCGAGGAGATTGAAAGGTGCAAGGCTGATGCACGACTGGAACTTTGGCATCAATTAGGGTGGGCAGCCACATCAATGAACTCCTGATATTCCACAACCTTCTCCTTCAGATCTTCTTTCGAACACTGGCTTCAAAGTGGAAGAATCCGGTCCATTCAATTCTGGTCTTCCTTCGACTTCGCTCCTCTGCTTGCCAACGGAGCTCCTCTGGCCTCATGTTCTCCAGCGCTTCCGCGGCCGGATCACGGGTGTTGACCCAAAGGACTGCATCACCACGCGCAAAGCTGGCCTGAGCAAAGCACCACCGAAGACATCAGCTGTAGGAACAGCCGCATGCTCACATAGGAGTCCACACCCATTCTACATTGTATACACCTTCAACTCCTCTCCCCTTTTCTCAACCCCAGCTATATGCTCATAGCAATGCGACTTCCAAGCGGCGCCAGTGCTAAGCTTCCCTTGACCGAACTGCTTCTGCTGCAGGGCCCTGGAGGCCACGCTGCACAGCTGCTCCGCCAGGCCTGGACCCGAGCCGTGACCGGACCCAGGCCTGAAGCGCCCGATCTACCGCGTGGAAACCGCGTGGAAACCGCGTTTTCTGCAGATCTGTGCAACACGCGGAGAGAAGCGGGGAGGGTTGGAAACGGTTTTCCTGTTGAGAAAGGCAGTGGGAAAGAGAAGGAACAAGAAACGATTACTGATTACAGTTTTGCAACATCAAGTGGGAAGGAGAAACCCAAGTCTCACCACACATGACCAGAGAAAATTTAGAAGGCAAATATAGCAATAAACGTAATAAAACACGCACAAAACAAC